GTCACAAGCTCGTCGAAGTGCTTTCGCAGTGCACTGTAACCTATTTAGAAACGCTGTTAATAGTACTGACAGTACTTGCAGTAAAGGCCATCACACATAAAATTCCGTAAGGACGTAAGACGTAAACTGAAGACGTAAAACGTAAAGTCCATGACACACAGTTGCCGTAAAACGTTAAGTTCAACCAATAGCAAACTTCCTTCCCATTTACAACAGTTCAACGTAGTTAAATGCAGTGTACTATTTTACTAAACAGTATGCTTCTTTTTTATAATTTATTGAAGTGCATATTTAACATTAATATCAAATTCAGATATATGGACATTAGAATCATCGACACTTGGATAACAAAGAATGTTTTATGTTGAAATCATATAAGTTACATTTAACTGAATGTTATATTAATATTTTTTTTCAATGGTAATTAGAAAAAATTGTCTCAGCAAAAAATCTAAGTCACTTATATCTGAAGAAAAAAGAATTTTGAAATGATATGAAGACTTAAGATATAAAAATTTGAAGTGTTAAAGGCCAGTAGGAGGCAATGCTGCTTGTTGTTTGTGTCAAAATTGAACATTTTAATAATATATGACTAGAACAATGTTATGCTAAGAAATATACAAACATTTCAGTCGTCGTTTGATTCTCTTCAATGTTAATAACACTGAAACGTTCGCATAACATTATTCTATAATAATGTATTATAAAAATGTTCCATTTTGACACAAACAAGCAACGTTGGTTCCTGTTGGCCTTTAACACTTCAAGAAAAGAATTAAGAAGAAAAATTATAAAGAAATAGTTTTGTACATGTTTAAATAAAATTTTTTCAGGTTATTTGTTAAAGGAAAATACAGAATAATGACAGAGAGGAAGGGACAAATAAGATTCAGCTATGAATCCGGTCCATAGAACATTGATTTATGTTATTGACTCATAAACATACTTTCTTTTTTTAATGTGGTCATTCAGAAATGACATATTTTCATAATATATAAAAACACTTCGCCGACTAACTCCACTGCCACTCCTTGAATCCAATTCTCTTTGACGTTTTTCACATATAACCTAACCTATAACCTAGAACCAGATTTTAAAGCGTATACTCTGTGCTGATTTGTGATTGATTGTCCGTAAGACGTAGCCATAAAAATTTCAGTCTTAAGGAACGTCTACATTGGAAGTAAGTAGGAAGTAAGAGTAAGAAATTGACCAACCATAGTCGAATGTGAGAAGAATAATCAACTATGATTGGTCAATTTCTTATTCTTACTTCCTACTTCTTACTGCTTACTTCCAATGTAGACGTCCTTTTACGATATTGCTCGATATTACGTTTTACGTCTTACGGACAAAATTGGAGGGGATACGGAAAGCCAAATACTTGATTGGGATTGGTCGATTTCCTTACACTTATGTCCTTACGGAATTTAGCGTGTGATAGCCTTAAGTTGGTAGCACATAGAAAAACTTAAGCAGTAAGCGAATTGACCAATCACAGTCATTGATTTTTCTTCCAACGGTCCAAGAATCAACAACTGTGATTGGTCAATTTGCTTACTGCTTACGTCTTTCTTTTCTGTATGCCACGGCCCTTAGTACCCTCTACCTTATACCGATGTCGCCACAACTGCCAAGAATACAGGAAAGAAAACTCGGATACCAGGTTTTCTTTTTCATTGTTCTGTGTTGTGTCGACTAAGCCACACGGCCATTTGGTATTATGGGTAAAAGAAGACGAAGATTTGAAGCTGAGCAAGAGAATAAGCTATGGAAAAGACTGTGTGTACCGTGTATGGAACAAACTATACACGATCTGCAACGAGAGTTGATAGAAATAAGAACACAGTTTGCTACTTATTGTCGTAAGTTATTTCTAATTTTCTGTTATTGGGAGATTCCTTTGCATGGTGTGAGTGAAATATATATATATATATATATATATATATATATATATATATATATATATATATATATATATATATATATATA